ACATTTGCTGGTCCGTAAGATAGTCTCCTAGTTGAGTCCTTATTTCCCAGTACACCCAACATAGGATCTGTGGACATCATAAACGGACGGAATAGAAGGCCCTACTAGAATTGATTTGGAAAGACAGTTTTGATGAAATCTTAATTAACTGATGTGTTTGCACTGACAGGTGAGTAGTTGATCGATCATTGTGGCGCTTTTGTACTGTGATAGTCTGCGTACATCCAAATGAGCTTTGCATAAGGTGAACCAAGGCATGCAGCGTGTAGTAATTTCCCTTTAAACGATTCTCCGGTTTGCCTACTGAGTGAATTCCTGACATACGTGTCTACCTATGCTTACCATTTTCACCTAGGTCGGAAGAAAAGAGATCTGTACAGTTGCGTTTGGAAGGCGTTCTGCAAAAACCTCTTCGTCTCACCGACTGGCTAGTCGCTGAGGCAACCTTTTCCGCGGGATTGGTTCATTCCCTTAGTGGTCATCCGGTGAGTGGATGTGTTACTGAAGGCCAAAACCTTTCAAGCTGTTCACGATCTGGCCATGTGCCTGCCTGAATGCTTGTTCGGTTTGCTCGTACACTTATGAGGATATTTAATGCGTGAAATTGGTTCGTATATTCCGCTAAATTGTGTGAATAAATGCATTAAGTGCACTTGCGCCAACGGATAAGATGTGGTTTGGATTTGGCAGTCGATGTCGTTCCTGAGGTCGAGGACACATGTTTTGCATTGATTGCATCATAATGCAACCGACATTCTGACCTCGCGGTGCAAGTATCGTGGCATACGCCAGGGCATTTGGTCAACCCAATTCATGCAAATCAGTAAGCGTGGGTCTCTCGTTAGTATTTGGAACGGATGAGTGTAGGCCATCTTAGCTTCGGCAGAGAGATGTTGTTCGTAAAATGCTTCCAGTTACCCGCCTTCACAGATGAGAGATCATCAGAAGCACTAAAATGATGGCAGGATGGTGGGTTAGTACATTGGAGATGGACGGAATAATACATTTATCCTTCGTTTACTTTAATGGCCAATTTCTTCCATAGTATCCTCTACCACTGCTACCACCTCGGTCCCATTTCAGTCCCATAATTTCAGTTCATCTCACCTCAGTCTGCCCTAGTGCAGCGTTCAGGTCACTTCACTGCGTTTACTCGTCGTGAACTAGTCGTGAAGGTTATCTGTTTGACTGGAGAGGTCAATCGGTAGCCGCACGGTCGCTTGCGGCAGAACGGTTTTCACCTCTGAAGCTTGTGATGCACCTAATTAAGACCTTACGATTCGC